TGAATTTCCTACTAAAACTTTTTATTTGCATTCACAATTTGGCTAACTGGTAGAAAAGGCCTAACGTTAGGCCTATAAAACGTTTTTGCACATCAGTCATTTGACCTGCCTCCCTCACTAAGCTTAATCATTTTTAGTTTTCATTTACCGTGAGAGACTCTTCCTTGCACTTGAAGCCTTAGAGGCCATTGGAGGATTACTAACTGGCCTCATTTTGATATCGTTGTGTCTCAGGGAATAGGGAGGCCCAAAGAGAGGGAGAGATACAGGGTGAAGATTCAGTTGGTAGATCAGTCAGAGGACACACAACATTTGTACGATGTTTGCCGTCTTCCGTGGGTGCTATTCCTGGTGCTCCAGAGCGATAATAATAGTAATATCAAATGTCCCTGATTATAGGTCACCATAACCAATACAAAAATAATGAAATACTGAGATTGAAATCTTGTGAAAATTACCGAACTATGACCCAGAGACATGAAGTGAGGATATGCTGTTGGGAAAACAGTGCTGATCGACTTACATGCTCAACGCTGGGTTGCCACAAACCTTCGATTTGTTAAAAATGCAATATCTGTGAAGCACAGTAAAGTAAAGGCAAAGCCTGTATCTGGTGATACGGATATTTTCTTGTGCATCCTGGGGGTCTGGCAAAAGAGGGAATGGTAGCAACTCAGTTGGTAGAGGACGCAGGCTGCTTCTGTAAACGGTATCAACTATCTGTCTCATTTGGTGTCCACTGCTACCTCCCCAACCCCTTGTCAGCCAGCAGGAACCACAGCAACGGGCCCACCCTGCCCCAGAATGGCCAGTTTGGCTCTTCTTTGAGAAGCTCCACCCTTCCCAGTCATTTCTTATTTTCGTACCCAGACATCACCTGAGTCCACCTCGAGCATTAAGGTTAAAGAACAAAGGCTTAATTTCCATTTCATGTTCTGTGAGGAGTCCAGTGTCCCCTCTGCTCCCCACGGCCAATATTCCTTTAATCCTTGGAGCTTTTAAAGTCTAAAGGATCTTCCGTTTCTGCAGACGGGCTGGGAATTCAAATTCTGACAGACACTGCATCCCATGCAATTCCATCTCTTTGTGACTGTGCTCTTCTCTTTGGTTCATGCCACATCACTGCAAATGTAAAAATTGGTAACTTCCCTGGGATGCATGGGATGCATTGAAGGAAAGGATACTTTTACAAAGCATCTTTCTGTAGCGACTATGCTAAATGTTTGGTGATGGGTTGGGCGTGGAAGGAGGAGTTGGTGGTACCGGAGTTCTGATTACTCTTTTTGAAGAACCCCTGCATGACCTGACTCTCCATGCTCAGAGATATCCTTTCAAAGCCCCACCCTGCCAAGCTCACTCCCTTTTATTATGAGGAACTGTTTAGCTCCCACCCCTTGGAGCTTCCACATTGAGAGCCAGATGCCCAAACTTCAAGTCCCGCTGTCCCGGGTTACTTGTGTTTGAGGGAGTGGAGGGAGCGGATGAGGAGCAAGTTACTTCAGCTCTTCAATTTTTGTTACTTCATCGATATAGGATAATAATTATAATACCTGCTTCGTAGTTAAATGAGGTGCTAGGCAGCACGGGGCCTGGAGTTTGCTAAAGGATCATGCACACAAGCGGCTGCCCGCTGTTGCTCGCTCAGTGCTCACCACTGCATGTGACAAGGGGTGGCACCGTGGCCCCCAGAACAGGAAAACCCTGCATTTGCTACTCCCAGCTGCACGAGAGTGGAGGGAGGCTTGGACCTTTCCACCATCCCCTTCCCTTTCTTTGCCAGCTAGTAAGTATCCCAGAAAAGAAGGAGGACACTGACTTGTGCCCCCACTGATGTGATAGTCCTTGCCATACATGGCTGATCACATGCAGCGGGTTTGGATTTACATACCAGCTTTTCCCTCCTGCTGTTACCTAAGCTCTTACCCCCTAGTCCACTCAAGTCACCTCAGCAAACACCCGAGACCCAAACTGAGAGGCGCTGCTGATGGTGCGGAGAGCGACACAGTCCAAAATAAGACGCGGAGCCCAAGCTGTCAGGCTGTGAGTGACAGCTGGCTCCCAGGGCTGACGGACGAGTTCTCTCCCTTCTCGTGGCAAGCCTTGTGCAAGCCCATCCAGAGGGGCTCTGAGAAGGGCGCCAGACATCGCGACTCAGGCATAAGGATGCGGGGTTAGGAGTAAAGAAAGAAACAAGGGAAACTTCTATTTTAACACGAATGTCACATGGAGGGTGATAGTAGAGAAACCCTGTGGTTGCCACTGCTAACACACGTCCTTTTGTTGTGAAACCACAGCTTCGCGCGCCTCAGTTCCAGCGCACCACCCACACCAGCGAAAGGTAGTGGTGATGAAGGGGCGGCATATGCCCTGGGAAGGTGCATTCTCATCCTGATGTTCCGCATCAGCCCAGTGTCCAAGAACCTTTCAGGCCTTTGCTTTACCCACCACTCAGCACTGTCCACTCCTCGGAGGCCCCTGCACGCCATCCCTTCTACCCCTTGAACTCACCATTGCTACGCTAGTTTTCCTCACAAGTGGCTTTGTGTTTTAAAATGGAGGTTTTATTATTATTTAGGTCAGGCAAGGCCGACAGATCAGGAGACGACTGCCATTGAGAAGAGTGTGTTCCTCCCAGTTCCGGGGTAGCAGGGAGCCACACTATGCCATGGGGGCTGTTCAGGGAGCGCCAGGGTGGGTCAGGCAGCGGAGGGAGGGGAAATGCCTTTATTGTGGTTGCTGGGAAGGAATGGGTGACACGGGGGGAGCAGGCTCAGAATTGGCCAGTTTAAATAATTTCAGGCCCATGGGGCACAGGGGCTGTCTGTACTTGTCCAGTACCTGGACCTAGGGCAGTTTAGGCGGGTGATAGGGACCCCAGAATGTGCAAGCTCAGTAAAAGAGGAGGTTGGAGTCTTAGCCGCTGAAATCTATGCCCTGTGAATTTATGGCATAATAGGTATAAAAAATAAAAGACCTCTGGACTGTAAAAACAAACAAAAGAAGTGGCTGGGGTGTGGGTTCTGGACTGGTTGGTTTGTATGTATGTGAAAGCTACATTCCTAGGAGAGTTGCTTACCATCTCTAGGAGTCAGCCAGCCCTGGAAGGGCCCCTCCCTCCAAGGTCCACAGGGTCGCAGATCCAAGCATCAGAATACAGAAATAAAAGACATGGTTAATACTCTTGGTCATGGCTCTCTGCTCCGTGGAAACTGTCCGTGGCTTTCATTGGCTGCGAAGGTGGCATTCTGGTTTCCACCTTCTGGTCACTGCCCTGGGGTCTAGCCTGACCCATTGCTCTGCTCTCTTTTCCCCATAAACCCAGCATTCCAGCCAAACTGCGCTCCACAGACTTTCTCATCAGGCCCTTAAAAGCAACGGCCCGTGTGTTTTCGATGTGCCCTGTGTGCTGTCTGCCTAGCCGAGGCTGATCTTTAGTGCCATCTGCTCTGTGAGAATCTTCCATGGGTGGTGGTGGTGAGGGCCCCCACAGGTTATTACTAGGCACAGAGCTCTGCCCACGAACGTGTCTGGGGAGAAAAATGCCTGCTTCTTTTCGTCTGCTTCAATGCTGCCTCTCCTTTAAGTTGAAGACAAGGCCTCTCTAAAGACTGTCCAGCCCATTTGGACTTTCTTGCCTTTCCTTCTACTCTTAATTTTTATGAGATTCGAAGCTTAAAAATGTGTTTTGTTTATGGTGCTATAGTACAAGCTGTTTTTGTTTCCCCCTCTTGTGGCAAGCACCTGAAGACAAACCCATGTCCCCTATCCATCTCTAAGCCTCTGTATTCCAGCACTACCGAGAGCAGCAATAGACACTCATCAGGTTAGCAACACCGTGAACTGCCCTGTGAGAAGCAAAGAGAATACTGGAACGGTTGTCAGGAGGCTGTGTCTAGGCTGGATTCTTCAGCTGATTAGCTCTCCACCTCTCGCTGCCTGCAGGTGATGAGGATGTTTACAGACATAATCTTAAAGGGTGTGAACTCAGAAAGCTGCTTGTGCAGAATGGCAGCGATTTTTTTCCCTCCGTGGTTGGAGAATTTACCTCCTAACTTTTGATTTTCCAGCTTGTATCCTTCCACAGAGGCGTTCGAAATGTCCTGTGAATATCACCAGATGTTTAGACTTGGTCATTCTAGAACTGAATGGTGATTGCCCCCAACAAAAAGAGAATTTCTTTTGTTCCCCCATGTCTAGCCTCTGATTCGTCTTTTTTTCCACTTTGTTCTTGAACTAACTGCTTTGGCAAAACAAAAGCAGAACCATCACGTCGATATTTGGTAATTTTGTGGGCAAGCCTGTGGACAACACCATGGCCCTGTCTGTCTTCCACCTCGCACATCCTGCTTTGACCTCAGGGTCCCATTTACCCCAGGTGAATATCTCATCATCTCCAGGTGATTCTATGGTCCACTTAATGTAGAAACGGCCACGGCAAGCTGGAGGAAAACAGAAGTACCATAGGTAGGGCATGGAGACCTCCCACAGGCCCTGGCGTCTCCGGAGGACGTTTATGGCGGGTTTGTATTTATAACCCTCATGGAGGGCAGCACCAGAGGAATGTGGCTCAAATTGCAGAGACAGAGTTTGTAGACAGAGCTCATCTGTCGTGGGTGGTTAAAGCACCTGTCTGCCTGCTGGGAGAGGGAACATCCATGGGAACAATCTAGTTCCCCGCCAGCAACCTGATTTTACAATGACTTTTTCCCCTTTATTTCTATGCTGTTATCTGTTAAATGCCAGTTTGCCTAGTGTGCTTCTTACCTAAGTAAAACAGAGGACATCTATACATGACACACACAGATTCGTGTCCCTATTAAAGCTGGTATTTGCATTCACAAGAAAGCAGCCATTGCTTCCCGTCCTGCAGAAAAGTGACATCCATTTCTCCTGGTTATTCACTGCAGAGCCTAGATTGCAACCTGAATTTGGCTGATCGTGGAGGAAATACGCCTGTGGATGAGTACAAACTAACTTTCTTTCTTTTCTTTTCCCCCCAGGATTATACCTTAACCATGTATTTTCAACAATATTGGAGAGATAAAAGGCTCGCCTATTCTGGGATCCCTCTCAACCTCACGCTTGACAATCGAGTGGCTGACCAGCTATGGGTGCCCGACACATATTTCTTAAATGACAAAAAGTCATTTGTGCATGGAGTGACCGTGAAAAACCGCATGATCCGCCTTCACCCTGATGGGACAGTGCTGTATGGGCTCAGGTCTGTGTGCCTCTTCAGGGCCAATTTTGCTGTTGCATGGTGCATGGGTGTGGAATATCTCACTTGAGATGTTTATCGTAAGTGAGGCAATGACCTCAGATTAATTAGGAAGCATCTATGAAGCACTTTAAGCTTTGCAGAAAAAAAAAAATCTCATAACCATAAAATTTGGGGCATTACTGTTACTATAAATAGCCATCAAGCAGTTGAAAACAGCCACCTTTGGATCAATTGTATATAATTGAATTGCCACGTCTGAGAACACAGATTCCCTCAGGATGGATTTTCCGTATCATAGCCACAGAGCCCTGTAATTAATATCGCCCTGACACTGCAGTGGCTTCAGCGAAGCTTTTTTCAAAGCTGTCTGCACAGTTGAAAAAAAACGTCTGTTGCGCAGATTGTAGGGTTTACTCTCCACGGAGCTTTACTGAGGTAGTGCCACGAATATTTATGGGAATGACTAAGCGAGAGGTTTCCTGATGAGAAACATCTCTCTCCAGCGCTCATAATCACTGAAATCAGGCAACCAGGCTGCCTTCCTAAGTCCCAGTGAGGAGGCCCTGGGCTTCCCTGGTTGCCTGGAAACCACCAGACCTTTCCATGGGGCTCCATCCCAGCTGGTGGTCAGTTATTTTGAATATCACCTTGCTAAATGGTGCCCTTGCATAGATTTTGCCTGATTTTGGGTTTGCTTTGTTGTAGAACAGTCTTTTGTGTGTATGTGTGTCTGCTTCTCGAACTCCTGGCCTAAAAGTGCCCTTGAGACCCTCTAGCCGGGGCTCTCGGTGTTGAGTGGGACACATGTGGGTAGCTTGGAGAAAAGATGTATCTGAAAGTGTTGTGAGCCCAGAGCCTTTGAACTAAGACTCTAACAGCTATAAGCAAAATCTTAACCGTATATATTTAAATCCACATCCCTGTGACTGTCATGCCTCAAGACGGGTAGAGTGAATGATTTAACATTGCCTCAAATAGAACGTGTGAGTGATTTTCTCAGAACCACACTTTAGAGAGTAGAATTTGGGATTTTAGCAAAATCAGATGTTTTTAATGGTAAGCGGCACACGTCACCCAAGCCATGGTCTTCCTTTAGAAGGAGTCTAGCCTGGAGTTTCTTTGGGAGGTTTTCAGCGTTTTATGTTTTCGCCTGAAGATGAGACCTATGGTTGTAAGGCTCTGAAGGTTCGGGTTCTGGTAAGTGCATCAGCTGTACAAACCGACTCTTCAGACGTCTTGGGAATGTAGAATGAGGAGCCATTTACCTGCTCCCATCCCCAAAAAAACTGAAGTGAAAGAAGCTATGTGTGTGTAAATGCGTGTGAGTCTGTGTGTGTGTGTGGGTTGAGTTGTGTGTGTGGGGTATGTGATGTGTGTGTGTGTGGTGTGTGTTGGGTTTGTGTGTGTGTGGTATGTGTTGTGCTGGTGTGCATTGTGCATGTGTGTGTGGTGTGTGTTTTGTGTGGTAATGTGTGTATTGTATGTGTGTGCACGTGTGTGTGATGGGGAAGAGCAAAAAGAAGCAAATATCAATAAAAATTAATGTAGGAATTTTTGACTTTTTAAACAAAACATGCTATTTGGGTTTTCTCCACTTTATTTTTGCATTCTTTATTTTTTTTCTTTTTACCAGAAATAGAGTATGTCAGTCTGTCTGTGTATGTCTTTGTTAAAAGCAAAGAGCTTTAACTCTGTTAAAATAGAATTATGTAATACATATAAAAACTCTGTCATAAATTCCCCAACTCTTGGAAAATGTTTAGGTAAGAGTAAGATAAACCAAGAAAATAAAAATTGCTTGGTCTGTAAGTTTATATGTAAACGTTAAATAATAATGTAATAATAAGCCATGGGAGACCTTTAGTAGTAAACTTTGTACAATAACCTAAAAAAGCCTTAGTCAATTTATATCCATTATGCCTCTCAAACGTCTCTTAAATCAAGAAATGGATTTTTAAGTAAGTAGCTGGGTTTTTTTCAAGTGTGGTATAGGTATACTCCTTAGCTCTTTATTTACAGCATCATAGTTTTGAAACAGTTCTTCGGAGTTACATAGACCTGGATAAGCTGTCATAAAGAATCTCCAAAGTATAGACTGACCACAACATTCTTCATGTGTTTAGCAGCTAAACTTGTGTCATCTGCTCATTAGAAATTGGCTATTCTAGAAATTTCTGCCTTGATATTTAAAAAACACGTAGCTCTAGAGATTGATTTGAACTTCTGGACGAAAGAACAAATTAAAAATTCTCAACACTGATCATTAAACTCATATACACGTATTCTTTGCTATCCTGTGTAAACTTCAGTACCATTTATATATTTTACATGTGACCTTTGATAAAAATCAAGGTGTGAGTGCTCACTTGGATCAGCCACCCTCCATCCTCTCCTTGGCCCCAAGGCCCACCTTCCCTCCCGGTCTTTTTACTGTTGCACTGGCTGGATGGTGACATGGCGGGCCAGGAGCGGGCCAGGAGTGGGCCAGTGTGTGTAATCCAACAATACCTTGCATCCTTTCGGTAAATAGGTACTATGGCCTTGGCCTGGAGGAGGTCTGGCACAGCTGAGAACACTGAAATTAAATTCCCCGTGGTGGAAGGTTTGCAGAGAGCTGGGGTTGTTCCTGCTCTCCTGCTTGTAACGTACGGCTGGGGAAGGTCCTGCCCACAGAGATTGCTTTCCTACTCATTATGTGCGTGAAATACTGGTTGGACTGGCTGTATCACTGAGACCTTCAGCTTGAATTTCTCTCACCCCTGGACACTGGGATTGGCTCTCGCCTTGTCTGTCCAGCAGTGGCCTGCACTGGTAGGTCAGTCACCACTTAGCTCCTCTAGGCTTCTTTCGTTACTCATGCCCAGACGTTATGGGAACAGCATCAGTGGGCTTTTGCTTTGTCTAGGCTAGATGAAGACCTTTGGCTGTAGATGAGCTGTCCGTGACGTAGGTTTGTACGTCAACTCAGCCTTATTCTGGGAAATCATTAATCCTTAACTCTGATGACTCTGCAAAAGTAGTCACTGACCACTCATGCAGATGCTTGAGAGTGATCACATTCTTGTAGTGATAAAAGGTTGTTTTAAATCATGAGCCATTTTCCCCATGACTCTTGTAGCCCCTTGAGCTTGAAACGTGAGCTAACCCTAGCTTGCTCTTCTTAGCAGCTTGAGCTCAGCTGAATACGACCGTGAACTGAGATCCCTGCACGAGCTGAAGTCAGCATGTGATGGGAGAGAACGCCCTGGACAGGGCATGCCATCCTAAAATAAAACGTAAATCCTTGACAGTTTCCTTTGGACAGTCAAACCTTTTAAGGAACTAGGAAGATCTTGGCTGACTAAGAAACTAATGGGCCTTTGTCCTGTCCCAGTCACAGCTTTTCTGTTTGCTTTGATGCTGCACTGAAGTTTTCTTCTGTCTGTAAGAAGGCAGAATTATCATCCCTTTTCCTAACTTTCTTTTTCAGTGTCTTGGGCCTTGGATGTCATTGACCTTCTCACCTTGCATTATTAAGCGTACTTTGTAATGTGGTCTTTTCTTCATGCCATACGTGTTGTATCTTCCTATCATTTCTCTGATGCTATGAGTTGGCAAGGGGGGTTCACAAAATAGTATTCAGTTTGCTCCAAAAAGCACCTGGGAATCTGAGGCTGAGTCATCAAAACAACATAATCCATATTTTGCCTGAGAAGTGTATTGCAAAATCTGTTGGACCGTACATGATAAAGTTCTCACTTGTGGCTAAAAATTGCTTTAAGTTGGCAAAATTGCCATTTCTATACTTAAAGATTGAAAGCAATATTAAGATGAAGCCAGAACTTATATCAGATGATTCAAACGAACTCATCAAATTCGTTTGACTAGCATCTTATTCTGTAACTATTTTATACAGTGGTTCTGTTAAAATACTTTTCTCAGAAAAGATACCAACGCACAGAGTTATTAGGGCTCACATGATTTTTATGCAGCCGTCCCTAACTCCCAAACCCTTGTTTTGTCACCATCTCCCAAATTATCCAACTAAAAAGCATATTGATAAATTTCTTACCAGATGGGATTATGCCAGTTTACACTCCCACCAGCAATAAAGTATATATTAACTTTAGGACTGTGATACCTGCTTTGGAATTTATTTTTACTGAGGCCACTGTAAGTAATCTATCCATTTTCTTCATCTCTCAAGGCCGGTGAAGATCGCCTGACTTGCTTTAAGTTCTGGCTCATACACTTCTCTGCTCCCCACCCCCAGCATGTTTTATTCTTCTCCTCCTTATAAGGACTCTTACCTTCTCCGCAAACTCCCCCCTCACTTGGATTTGATGAGATTACTTCACACTTTAATTGGAAAACTTCATCTTTGAGTTACAAAGAGCCCACCTGAGCTATCTGGTGATCACTCTTTGCCTCCCCTGTCAAAATGGAGAGCAGCTCGGCGTCCTGACCATTTCCAAAATGAGCTTCGCCTTGGCACCCTGTCACTGCTGGAGGACTTGGCTCCTGCAGTCCTGACCTCTCCCTTTCTGCTCCTCTCCTCCTCCCTCATCATGCTTCCAGTACGCACACTTCCCTTCTGCTCTTAGAAACATCAGGCATGTCCCTGTCCTCGGGCCTTTGCACATGCCCTTGCGGGACACGGACTCCTCTGTGTCTAGACGGTTGTGTGTTCAGCATCATGATAATGTAATTAGTAACTAAGGATTGCTCAGCTGTCACACTCATAGGGAGAGCCCTTCGCTGATCATTCATTCACTTTCTGTTACGTTCCCTTTTGGGTTGTTATCATAGCACTTACCCAGAGCTGACATTATCCTGTCAGTTTATTGCATTTCTTATTTATTGACTCAGTGTTCCCATCCATGATGACAGGGAAGCCACCATGAGAATATAAACTCTTAGAGAAAAGGATGGTTTCTGTTTTGTTCATTATTCCATCCCCAAATTCTAGAGTAGTGCTTCATGAAAAAAAAAAAAAAGTATGGCCTGAGCATTAACTTTGA